TACACCCCGAGTTTGACCAAATGATGTTGGCCTTTATGGCAAGAGCAGGCAGAAACCCAAGGAAGGGAGTCAAAAAGGGGTTTAAAGGAGCCCAGGAAAAAATCCTGGATACGATTGGGCCATGTGATGACATTGGCAGACAAGGCATATGCTCAAGCAGATTCATTTACTGCAGACATGGTGCAAGATTGGGCGCACCATATCCGTGAGTGGGCCCAACAATGCTTTTGTTTCATGGGCAACACAAATGTGGCCCTATTTCGAATTGATGGCAAATTGGTGGAGCTCGGCCCCCAAGCTCGTGGTCGATTATTTTAAGATCAGTTCATGAATGAACTGAATAAACACATTAATGTGTTTACATCCCTGAATAAAGCGCAGACATCATTACACAGAGTGTGTTTTTGGACGGGCTGATCGGTATCATACCACTAGCCGCTTCTGGCCATCAGGCCGCAGATACTCATGTCCTCCATTCTATTCAGAAGTGGGCAGCCAACAACCCTTCCAATATTCCCGAGGCTCCAAAAGAGGCTGCGGTGGCCGTGGACGGGCCCGTGCAAGTTTCACATCAGGTAAGCCTCCATTGGATAACTGTTATGCCTTCTGTAATAACCGCGGCACCCCCTGCAGGTCACTTCTCTAATTTTTTTCCCTTAGTGGGTACAACCTCGTCAGATTCCTGGGTTCTACAAACCATTCAACATGCACACTACGGTGCACTCATACCCATGATAACTGGCAATCTGGTGGGAACCCTGGATAAAATGTATGACACCGGATAAAACCGCCTAGAGTACCTACAAGTGCGGCATCGCAGTCACTATAGCTCTCCTTAAGGAATGACAGCCTTGCTATCATGATCAAGCATTTTAAGGAAACTATGACCCCTCCATGACACTGTAGATGCCTCTATATTGACTTTTGTTAATTATTTTGGATGTTGAGATGTCATGTTGATTATTATCAATGCGTATTTTTGTATATTTCCTTACAATCCTTGCCTTTTTACTTGTAATGTCTATTTTACAAAAATAAAAACTTTAAAATAAAAAATAAATAAATAATGCATCCCACGCGATACCACTCAGAATGCTGGCACACATAGTAGGACTTCTATCCGACTCCACCCAGGCCCGCTGCACTATCAGGCCATGCTACGCCTCAAAGCTTGTTTCCTCAGGAGAAATCCCACATATGACCAACCTGTCCTACTGCGCATGGACAACGTCTCCGCAGTTCGATACATCAACCATATAGGTGGCCCTCGCTCTCAGACGCTGGCAGAACTCACAAAGGAAATCTTCAAGTATTGCCTCCCATGCAATATCACGTTGGTGGTGGAAAACCTGCCAGGAGAAACCAACCTGACAGCGGACTAGTTCTCCCGACACTGGAAAGACAGCAGCGAATGGCAACTGGATCCGCACATATTTGCAACACTGAACAGGTCGAGGGGCCCGCTCAGAACCGATATCTTTGTGTCTCGCACCAACTGACAACTACCGATTTTCTACAGTTGTCTGCCAGAGCCGGAGGCTTCGGCGGTAGATGCATTCCTGCAGAACTGGTCACCCAAGGGGCTTATGCATTTCTGCCATTCGCAATGATTGCGAGAATGATCCATCACATCCTGGTGACATCCCAGTGGCCGAGTCAACCCTGGTTCCCAGATCTCCTAGCACTGTTGTGCGAAGATACTCTCCCACTGCCAGACGATCAGATGCTGCTCATGGATCCCATGGGGAATCCTCACCCCATGCTACAAGACGGACACCTCTCATTAATAGCTTGGAGTCTTTCAGGGGTGCTTGGCGTACTGACGACCTATCGTCAACAGCTAGAGATATCCTCTGGGACTCTTGGGCCTCACGAACAAGGAAATGTTATCGCTCAGCCTGGAATTCATTGAACGATTAGTGTGTGGGACGGAATACCGATCCCTTTATGGCCTCTCTACCCTCCATATTAAACTATCTAGCATCTCTGTTTTTGGAAGTTAGGTCTTACTGGACCATTAACGTGTTGCGTTCTGCGATATAGGCGGCTCACATCCCAAACCAAGGGAAACCGATATGTCAGAATACCTTGGTTTGTAGACAACTTTGGGGCATTAAGACGCGTAGACCCCCAGCCAAAGTACTCCTCCCTTTGGGATGTGGCCCAGGTTCTTCGTTTCATAAAGGAGTGGATTTCCAATGATAAGTTGTCATTACGACAATTAACGGCGAAGTTTACACTCCTTTTGTGTTTAGTTTCTTTCTGTCGGATTTCGGCTCTTTGATGTAGACGATTTCTCATTTTCTCCAGAAAGGGTCCCTTTTCAGGTATGTCGACGTACCAAGTCTAATTCAACTGCGATTTCCTATCTGTTTTTTCCGTCGGAACACCATCTTTGTGTGGTCTAGAGACCACATGCCTACGTGACTGCTACAGCCATGCTTTGAACTTCTTCATCCAGACAACTGTTGGTGTCTTATGTTAGACCACATGGGCCAGTATCGGTTACCACAATCTTGGTCCGGCTGTCTCTTCCGCCCTTGTGGCAGGGGGCTCCTTATCAGACATTTTACTAGCGGCAGGCTGGTCACGGGAAACCATCTTTCGGATGTTTTACTTCCGCCCGTGTTCTCACTCATACCATAGCGTTAAAACTGCAAAATATGAAGTTTCCTGTCATGTAATAAAATTGGGGTTGTGCGTGTACTATGTCCTTGGGATGTATTTATGGACGTCGTCACCTATAGTTGCACTTATCGTTTATATAATCATAACTAATGGTAATAGTTGGAATTGTCAAGTCTCTTCATGTCTATGGTTGCTAGTATTTGTCACGTTATATTACATAACACTAAAACCTTCTTGGGCTCTTTCAGCTTAATGCATCACAGCAAGTCTGTCGGAGCCAAGCACCCACAGTCTCATCATGGTTCAGTTACCATGGATTTTACGATGGCTTATTCATAGTTCCTGAGGTTTGGGCTCTTTCTCTCATTACTTATGTTTCTTAACTTTACTTGTGACTTCTGATGTCACATATCAAAAGGAAGTTTCTCAGTGGGAGGGGCCGGTTATACTATCTGCCTGTTTTTGATTGGTTCCTTTTTCTATATGTTCTTTGCTGCTATTGAGTAGTAAAGGAAGTTAATGCAAAATACTTGCCTCCTGTCATTATTAAAATTAAGATTATTAGTACACTAACGTACACTAGCATAATCTTCAATTCACAGGATTCTACCAATTACTAATAGATTAAAGAAACACTAGCATTAGGAATATATATCTGTCTTAAAGTCCCACCTTAATTTTATGCGCCTCCCCCATGTTAAACCGAATTTTTTTTTAAAACAATTACTCACCTTCTCTCCAGCACTTCTTCGGAGCTGCTGCGAACTCCAAGTACATTTTGGGTAACACCCTTTCACAATTAATTTTGTCCTCCGGGTGTAACCCAAAACGTTTGGTGTACTTTTACTACTTTTACTTAGTCCTTCAATAAAACTCTACAGCACTGTTCGTGCATAAGCATTCTGTTGAACTCCTAATGTACACTTCAAAGAGGTTTTAATACCTCTGTATGGCTATAAAGTGTAAGCTACCCTAACAATATCATAGCAATCTTTGAGGTAAATGCAGGGTAAGGTAGTAAGGTTTGAACTCACCTATGAGGTTAGCTTTGATGTTGATGGGTAACCTAAGCCCACAAAGTAGTAGTAATTTATTAAAATGTGCACATTGGCATTTGCAATGGTGTATGCAAGGTAACACGGTAACCAGCGGAGAGTCTGAACTGCAGTTTAACCATTTGAGTGTCAGTGTTATTTGCATATAGCAAAGCAATGTGCCTGGCATACTCCTGGCTTTGAAAGAGTTAATGTAGTGCTACTGAGGGAAAAATAAAATAAAAAGGAATATGTAAAACGTAAGGGAATATGTAATATTCTTTTAATATAAAACAAAACAATGCAAAAATAAACTTCAAAAGCCAAACAAGCCACATGGGTATCAGAAAACATACACATATATTATACATACACACAGTTGCAAGAAAAGGCTTGTGAACCCTTAGGAATTACCAGGGATTCTGCATTAATTACTCAGAAAATTAGTTCTGATCTTCATCTATGTCACAACTATAGACAAACACAATCTGGCTAAACTAATAACACACAAACAGATGTACTTTTCAAATTTGTATTAAAGCCATTGAGTTATCATTCACGATGTAGGCTGGAAAAAAGTAAGTGAACCTCTGTGGGCCTTTACAGGCCTAAATATCTGCGTGTTTATCAATTCAATGTAAGACAAAATGAAAAAAAAAACATTGAGAGTTGCTACTCTTCCTAGGAGTAGGCATCCTGCACAGATCACTGCTAGAGCTCAAATGGAAATCCTGATAGAGGTGAGAAAGAGCCCGAAGATAAAAACATAAAACCTCCAGAAAACTCTACAAATGTTCATGTGACCACGTTCAGAAAATCACTGAACAAAAATGGCATCCGTGAAAGTATATCACCAAAAAAAAACAAAAAACAGTTGTTGCATGTGTCAGGTTGGCACAACGCCACCTGAATGATTCCTGATGCTTGCTTCTGTCAAAAATACATGCTATGTATGGAGATAAAAAGGCACTGCAAACAACCACCTAAATCAACTGTGAAGCATGGTTTGGGGCTGCGTGTGCTGTCTCTGGGCCGCGATGCTTTGCAGTTATTGAGGTAATGACTTCAAAAGTATATCAATGAAAAATAAATCCATAATTGCATACATGGTTTCATTTGGTCTACTAAACAGCAGTTTCTATTTATAAAAAAAGGGGGTTGTGGGGTCAGTGGAGTGTTCCTTAAGCTTAAGAGAGGTTGGGTGATGCAACAAGACAATTCAAAGCACATCAGTAAACAAACTAAAAAAAATGTCCGAAAAGGAAGAAGATTTGTATTTTGGAATGGCCAGGTCAGAGTCCTGATCTTAAATCGAGACACTGTGGCATGACCTGAGGAGGGCTGTGCAATCAAGACCACCCAGAAATATTGATGAACTAAAACAGAATTGTAGGATGGAATGGTTCAAAAATCATCAGGTTGTGCAAGTCTACAGTCTAAGTCTAAGCAGCTACAGTCAATGTGAAGATAGTTGCTGCTAAAGGAGGATGTACAAGTTAATGGAAGAGATAATTATGGAACATCTTCAATAAAAACTTTGAAAGTACAACTGCTTGTATGTTATTAGTTTAGTCAATTGTATTTGTCTATAATTGTGACAGGCAAAGATCAGACCACATTTTATTTGTAATCAGTGCAGAAATCCTGGTAAATCCAAAGGGTTCACAAACCTTTTCTTGCAACTATATATTTAATTAAGCCTTAGTTGCATGTTTCAGAACATGAAGCATGGTTGTTGTTTTGAGTAATAGATTTGCTGCTCTTGATTAAATGTGTACTAAACAAATCTCTTTAGATTATCAACCACTTAGATCAGGTCCCTGGGGAGGAATTCTAGACTGCTTCTATTTCTCCCAGTGGGCTGCTCTAAAAGTCAATGTAATATACTTACACATCTCACTTCGTGATGAATACCAGAGATTGAGAATTTCCTCCACCACACCTCACTTTATAGCATTTAGGGGTTAACACTTACAGTAGACTTCTATCCAAGAGCCAACTTTACATTAACCCTGTAATGTCCATACAGATAGCAAATGCCATCAATGATTTGTAAATCATGTTTGAAAACGATGCTCACTTTAATTACCATCTGTGGATATATTACCTTGCGCTATCCTATTCACAAGTTATATTTTAGTGAAGCTGTCAATATACTTTTTGTTCTTGATTCTCACATTTGCTGCTTTATGGAATTGCAAGATAGAAGGAACGTTCAATCAAACCAGATGAATAATGACGTAGATGGGGTTCTTGGCCAGGTTAAAACGTAGATGTTTACATTTTACATGACCAAACATATATATACCATTTCCTTGGGAAATCTATCCTCCTGGGACTCTCTGATGTGCAACATTAAATAATCCCCTGGAATGAGGCAACTGTGACAGGGAGGAGTGCATGGACTCCCAAGTATACATACTTACATTATAAGGGTGCTGTTGGGAATAATTGATAAATATATTATAGGAAATGATCACGAGATATGACAAACACATTTTCATTTAGGTCTACAGGCAGAAAGGGTAATTACAAAAAACAAGGTGCAAGAGAGTACTGAGATCGGACATCTCAAATAGCCTGCCCTTCGGTGTGTCCCTGCTCAGATCTCAAGCTGGTTTTTGCTCATCTTGTGCCATTACAAAAAGGACCAGGCCATTTGCATATCTGACTGATCCCAACCAAAAGGGAACAGATTCAAAACACAGGACTGCTCTCTCTGCATGAGAGACACTGCAACCCCAGACAATCGCTTCAGCCTTGTTAGGCCTCGTCAGTGAGGTATAGCGGATATCCCTCTAGGCATCCCTCTAGGCATCATGAGCAAGGGGTCCACGTTTGGGTTACCCATTTAACTCATGGTGAGCAAAAAACAAGGAGAAATTACCATGTGTGTAGAGGCATCTTACTCAATTTCCCAAACTTAGATCCATATGTAGAGAAAAAAAATAGTGTAATAATTTGGTTGATAACTAGTCAAAAAAAAAAAGAATAGTCCTATAACATAATAATATAATATTAAGGAATAGCAACAGAATTATATTATTCTGTTATAGGACTATTCATTATTTTTTGACTAGTTATCAACCAAATTATTAATATATTGACTCTAACCATATTTATTAATATTGATATATATACTTTACTGGATAATTATCCTTATAATTCTATAATTTTAATATTCTTAATTAAAAGTTACATTTTAATAGTTAGGTCACTCCTCTCTTTGTTGTTTTCTGTAATGGTTAAAAGACTTAAAATGTTACCTGTGCAATTCAGTTGAATAATACCATATCAATGGAATCATTGGTGAAAAAAATATGCCAATAGTGGTACTTGGTTTGAAATCGAATGAGAAGAATTCAGGTATTAGACATCTAAATGGTTAAGACGTTTAGGTTACTTTAAATATACTTTATTCAAAACTGTAATCCCTGTACACCAGTCAGTATTGGCTGGAAGAAGTAGACACAAACAACTCAATCAATAGTGATTTGCATTGACTTAAAAGCTGGATAAATATCATGGGATTGTTCAAATAGCAGCACATGTACATTTTACTTAGAACTATAAAATATACATTTCTTAAAGCTTTGCCAGTGATTCATTCCTGTAAAATCATATACACTACTGGGTTTTACAGCTACATACACAACAATAGAAGGTTTATTTTAGCTTATTTTACATACAAGATTTGCATTCAAAAAACTGACTTAATAAAAGTAAACATTTCATTTTCAGCTACAGTTAGCAAATATCCAAACAGCCTAAACAAAATGCTTCTCACTATAAAGGTGGATAAAAATAGATAAAATAAATAAATGTTAAAAATTCTCATTTATATCAGATTTTTTTTTAATAAAATGATTTTGAAGAAAAAAAAATATCTTTCTAAAGATATTTTTCCATTTAAAGTGTACCTGTCATGACAAATACAACTTAATCTTGTCAGATAATCAAATTTCATCTATACATTGTGCTATCAGAATTGCTAGCAAATGTCTAGATTTCTCTAAAATCAGATATTAAAAAAAAACAGCACTTTACCCCTCCTGTTAGTCAATCCAGTCTGTGCCAATTGGCACAGAGATAGGACGGTGGTGCTCTGCATATCTATTATCCCATTGTACAGCGCTACGAAATTTGCTGGTGCTATATAAATAATAAAATAATAATAATCAGGGAAGTTCTCTTTTGGGCATATCTCCAGCTTGCCTTTAGGTTAAGTGAAAGCAATGCCGTGAAGGTGGGAGGAGGGGCAGGTGCTATGTGAAAGCATTAGCAGTAGCATGGAGAGAAAGAGTCAGGATGATTTATTGCAGGAGCTTTGGACAGGTAATCTGAGAAAGGAGACAGAGGGAGAACACATACATTTTATTTACATACCATAAAGCCAACAAAAATATTTGGGCACTTTAAACTTGTTATGGGAAACACGTCTGTTCTTCCCAAATTATATCTGTCACAACAGGTTCACTTTAAGATACATTATAGTCCAAAGGTTATTAAGCATGAAATACAGATTAGTTATGAAGGACAAGACTGTGTATTCATGTAATATTTACAGTTTTGGTAAATTAATTCCTTTAATATAAGTTATTGAACATGTGATCTTCCTGCTCTGCTCCCTCCTGTGAGTGTGTATTTCTATCAGTGAATGTGTGTCTGTGAGTATGTGTGTGTGTCAGTGAAAGTATGTTTGTCAGTTAATGTGTGTCTTTTTTGTGTGGTTGCTTATTTAAAATTAATACTGTACTTACAATACATATTTATAATGAAGTGTTTATAGCCAGGTAAGTCAAAGGCTTAATTTTAGTTTAAAATAGTTGCCACCACATCTAAGATAATTATACTTCTATATGGTTCTTAGAAGTATATCTGAACATTAAGAAGCATGTAGAAGTATAATTATCTTAGATGTGGTGGCAACTATTTTAAACTAAAATTAAGCCTTTGACTTACCTGGCTATAAACACTTCATTGTAAATACAGTATTCATTTTAAATAAGTAAACATGGAAAAAAAAATCCCAAAACACTATTTACTTAACTTTTAAATTCGAACTCCCAATTAGGCCCCGTAAAATATGCCAAATTAATATAAAAGCCTAATCATATTAATAGAATTTAGGTTAATCAAGCATATTCTGATATCATTACAAATCATACTACAAAATACAGTATAATGTCTGTCAAAATGCCAGTCTATCTTTATAACTGGTAAAATAAATGTACAAAGAATAAAAGGTCAGAGGAAGTAGCTCATTAAAATGAATGACATTTTCTGTCCATCATCCTATTAAACACCCACCCCAAAAAAAGCACACATTAATACAGCTATTTATGAATACTTCACTTATTAGGGTTTAAAACACAACATTGGAGTTTAAAGGCATGTCCTACCTGCTCACTTACTAAAAATCCACAAAATGTAAACATTATTCTTATACCTTGGCATTGCTTCTACATAGACTGATATTCAATATAAACAAGTTATGCTCCAACCTCTTAAATATTTCCCTGAAGGTCTGTTAAACCTTCTTTTCCATCTCTCTTTCAAATGATAACTCACGTGGTACAAGTCAAGTGATGTCATAAAATAACATACCTCTACACATCTTAATTGATCAAAATAAACAGATTTGCTATAGGTGTGTCTTTCAATGTGTGCAACCATGGGGCATTCCTTTTCCCCACGAATATTAGTTCAGCGGGACAGAGCAAGTCACAGAAAGTTAGGTACAGGGGTTAATATAAACAAGAGTTTCCTTATTAAAAGTGGTACAATTATAACACAATTAGAGTCTGTGCTTATGTATGAAAAGGTTACTGCCAGAAAAGTCCCTGTGTGAAAACTATGGCGAAATAGAAAATTCCCTAATTATTAGTTATTTTATAGCAGATTATATAAAAATAGTTTCTTACATTACAGTTCTCTGCCATTTTGTATTTACCATTATCTATTCTGTATATTCAATATATTCAAATGATAAATGAAAGTCAGAAATGTAAGAACAAAAAGATGCAAATATGCCCTATTTTTTCTAATTTTAAAACCTATCTTAACATCTTTACACAAAACATACAGACACAAAGGTAAACTATGACTAAATAGATCATGCTTGGAGATGGCACCGTTATTTATATGTAAAACCACATTTGCTGTAGCTTGAACAAAGGTTCTTGCTATTATTACTGCTGCATCTTCATACAGTCATCCACATCCTACATGATTAGCTCCATCTTAGGAACCAAAGAAAATTGGGAAAATGCATAAGAAATATGTACTAAGGTAATCCATGGCTACATGGCATGTGTCAATGCAATATGATACACCATCACTGGGGAGGCTATTAGCAGAAAGGGAGGAAATCGTCCTAAATAAGCTACCCAAGCTTACCTTTTAATTTATAGAAATATGCAACAACAAAAAAATGTAAAGATTTGTGTATATATGATATGATATTTTGTATTTGTTTTTATTGAAATGCAATTGTTTTACAAGTTCTGTTAACTCCTTTAAAATATATTTTATTATCCTCATCTTTCTATAACAGTAAAACAGATATATGATTTTAAAAAGCTGCATCATCGTGACTGGGGGGGATCTCATCCCCACCTGGTTTACTGGCAGTGGATTAGTCTCCCCCATCCCCTCTGCTTACTACACCAAAGGCACTAGCATAGAAATGGGGACCAGAGTGATTTAGTCACCAAAGATGGACACTTGCAAGGTATATAAAAGCATCTAAAAAGATTTTCTTTTTTTTACACAAACACTGTATTCATAAACATATTTCATCATTTTCTCCTCTTAGTATATGCAATATTTTTAAGAGAGGCAGAATAATTTTAAAATAACTATCTATGCTTTTGCACTGTATGGATATAATGAATTCACAGCATGAGTACACATGGCTTTTAAGTTCATTCCCACAGTTGCACATGCATTTGTGTTTATTTTACAGGACTGAACACTGATCTACATCATATACAGTTTGTATGAATTTGATGTCATTTTGTTTTGCATTCTGTTCTGTCTATACTGCTATTTTTTTCCCATCATCAATAATCAAATTTAAACAAGTCAGTGATGTCAAAAAGGTCAGAACTTAATGATTTTTATTTAACTGCAAAGACATTTCCCCTTTTCTCCTTTGTACTGATGAATCGGGAAGATGGCTAGGATGGAGGTAGTGAAAGACAAGAAGGGGAATATATTTTCACAGTCTCATCCCATGAGCAGTCGGCCACCTGGAAAAAAAAAGAAGTGCCTTATTAGATATATGCAGATAAATTAAAAACAATTGTTTACTTTTTATATTTTCTTAGAAATAGATAAAAATATAAAACTCCTCTCACATGAACATAAAAGTGAAAGACAATTACTGTCAATTCAGCAAAGTCCTGGATATCTCTCTTTGTGCACCAGCAGTTGTGCATAATAAAATGCTATATGTGCCTTTAATATTAAATATGCAAGACCAGCGTAGCAGAATGAATGGGAATATCAATGACAACAGGGGAAAAAAAAATATTCCATTGCTTTTCCCATTGAACACTTGAGATGATGAGATTGTGACACCTTTCACCAGATGCAGAATGGTATTAAAACATGAAAAAACGGAAAAAGAGTGAAAACAGATTCCACATTTGTTGAGAAACAAGGATGCCTGGAGGCAGTAGTTATGGAAATGAGCAAAGGACATGATATAGTCCTTCTACTCAGAAAGCTTTTCTTCTTCAATCATCATGGTTAAGTAACTTGGATTCAAAAAATGCCATATGGTTCAGTACTTTACAAGTATATCCAAAGTTGATTACATTTCTCTGAGTCAGTTATCAACTATTACACCCCAATGTTTAGTGAATATACATCTTGACATTAAAATTGAGGGTCCATATTATCTAGGATAAGACAGCAGGTTAATCACGTAGACTGGTCTGCAGATTAAATTCCCAAATTTATGAAGCAGAAATAATTACCCTCTTTCTATCCCATCAAGGGTAACATATCACTATTTTATGAATGGAGGTAAATGTCTACAGTTAATGAATTCTTGTAAAA